ATGTATATGAACATGTACAAATCAGCTTGCACACAGACTACTGCAGAATGACATGTCATCCATGTGCTAGTTTAGTTCAGTTTAAACATATTTTATTCACAGAACCAAAATGAGAATTGTATTGGGGACTAGTTCTTGCAACTTAGTAAACCCCTCTCCGCATAAAATATGTACAAATATACAGTTGCAAAATAAATAAATGTGCTTCAGTCAGTAAAAGTCAGACTTTCCACATTTACACATCAATATATTTGTGTAAGTTTGTTACGTTATAATTATTCCATTGTGTATATTACTACCTACTTTACCAATTGAAATATGATTCCATTAGGTTAAATATGAACAATTATGATGAAAATCGTCAATAGGATATATTGCAATTAAGTACAAAACACACAGAGTATTTCTCAAATAAATAAGAAAACTAAGTTCATTCTAGTAATTAATCCTCTTCTGGACAACCATAGAAATGAAATTCCAATGCGTTTATATATACATATAATTATACAACAATGTACGATAACGACCTCAATCCTCCCCCACACCCAAACTTTAAAGACGATTGTGCGATTAACCCTGTACCAACCCTGACAAGGATAGGTTCTATTCATTTAACGCCTTTGACACTAAACTTATAAGGTTATTACAATTTACGTAAAAAGTTATTACATTTTACCGCAAGTTGAGATTATTACAATTTACGTCAATTTTTATTACAATTTGCGTGTTACAATTTACGTCAAAATTATAACAATTTGCTGCAAGTATTACAATTTACCTTTTTATAACAATTTACGTCGTAACAAGCTGCATACGCAATGGATATGGTTCCTTTATGTTGATATTCTCGGATACATTATAACTTTGGTAAGTTGTAATAATGACATTTGCATTTTGTTTTTATTCATTCGCTGCAGCTTTGAACAGAATCATTCTTGTTCCTTTCCGTTTGGTTGGGAAGTTTTTCGATGCGCGATAGACGTTGTTTTCACAAGTATTTTCTTTTGTAAGCGTTTATATGTTACAGTCAATGTGTAAAATATGATTCACTCAGGCAATTTATTTAATATCTAAATATTTCAATCATTTTACAAATTGACTGAATAATCTGTCCATTTATTTAACCGACTGACTAAAAATGATAAAGACGATCAGAAGAGCTTAAACACATCACAATATATTAATTATGCTAAGAAAAGAAGCCAAACAATACAGAACTGTACTTGGTGATGATATTAAACATATACAAATATTTGGAATTCGTTATCATACTAATAAAGATGGACATATTTTTCAGTTAATTTGTAAAATAACTGAATATTTAGGCGTTTAATAAATTTCCTTAGTGAAATCTGTTTACATTTTGAGTGTAAACATATACACACGGTAAAATAAGCAATGTTCAGATGAAATATTTACTTTGTGTTGCAAGTCAAAATAATGTAAACGAAGATCGCACAATTACCAAGCAAGTGACTTATCAAAACTTCATCACCATTACCGATGCTCCCGACAAATATGCCTACATTTCAAAAACTGTATTTCATTTTTGTTGATCAATGTGAACATACGTCCTACTATCAATAAAAATACGCTTACGAATGGCGAGAACAGGTCGCGAACAAGTCTAGATTTCTGCTATATCATCCGGGTACTCACTGGGAAAATACAGTAATGCACAGGCAACAACTTCTCCCGCGGAATTGCTTTAGATCAGTGCTCCTTTGTACGTTGAAATACTATATATTGTGAATGCCAAAATGATGTATCAAGGATCAAGTAGAATATACATTGACAGTAGCGCTGGGAGTTTATTCAACAGACCCGTGAAAATAACACTGCTGTATCATATTATTTATTTTAGATGACGCAGTCAAAGCTCACTTCTCCTGGCGGCCATTATCGAACGGCCAGCTAAAACACAACCCCGCGCTTACGTCTACAGGTCTCCTGTAGTACGGTAATTAGTATTCTCTCCCTCAAGTGTATCCTCAATGATATAACCCACCCTGATTAATTACATGCTGCTCTTTTCCAGCCTCACGGCTATGGAGCTGAGATAAAGAGTCCAAGTCATCATAAAGTAATTAGGGTCCAATAAAAACAATGCGCCGCCAAACTTCATACATATTATCACTGAAAGTCGTACTACAGACGGTTAATGTCAAATCACAATAAAAGCATTTCAATGGCAATAACATGTTCCAGGACCATGTATTCTCTTAACACCATCGAATTTAGAAGAAGAAATGGTCGTATAAAACAAGACAGATCTATTTAATCACAACAGTATTCATGTTATTCCCACAAAATCACATAAAGAAAGGAGACATTAGCAAATACATGTGTATTATCATTTTTCGTCAGGATAGCAAATTTTTCTCTCCTTGTTTCCACCTCCAGGTTCAGTTTAACACGGGTCCTCCTTTGGTCAAAAGTTTGTTCCCCCTCTAATGAGTGTGTCACGCGTTGCACACGAGTGGCGAACGGGGTGCACACCCGTGGCGGACGGGTTCCACACGAGTGACCAACCCGATGCACACTGGTTGCGTAACGCGTTGCCCATGCGTGTAAGGGGAACGAACTTCTAGGCAGTAGTGTATATAGCACCACTTGCATTAAGACACCACATCTCTTAATAAAATACAACAATGGGCTGACAAATGGGGCTTCTCCCTTAACTCAGAAAAAACAACAGGAATAGTATTCAAACATAAAAACATGAAACCCGCCTCCCCAATCCTCCAGCTAAACAACAAAACAATCAAATTTCAAAAAGAAACCAAATTCTTAGGACTTATTTTCGATGAACATCTCACCTGGGATGCTCACATCCAAATACTAACAACTAAATGCAGTAAAGACCTAAACACCCTAAGATGCCTAACTGGCTCAAACTGGGGAGCCTCCAAAGATACCCTCCTCTCACTCTACATATCACTAATTAGATCAAAACTAGACTACGGCTGCGCCATATACAACACCCTAAACAACTCTCTATCTAAAAAAACTTGACTCAATACAATATCAGGCTCTCAAACTAATTACACGCACCCAACATGGCACCTCCTACACTTCACTTCAGGCCTTAACAGGTGAAATGCCACTAAGTCTACGCAGGGAACAGCTAAGCTTAAATTTCTGGGCCGCATCCCAATCAAACCCTCTAATCCAAAACTTAATAAACCAAGATATCAGCCCCAAAAACCAAGCTCTAGCTCGTAAACACCCCTTACTTACTCCAATATCCCAAAGAATAACCAACTACCTAAATGAACACCAAATTAAAAATCTTAAACAAAACTGCAAACAATCAAATATCTTCACCCCTAAACTTAAAATACCCAAAATAGACATAACACTAGCCAGCCAAATAAATAAACAAACCGACCCAAACATAGCTAAAACCACCACACTAACATACATACACGAAAATTGGCCAAATTGGTGTCACATTTACACGGACGGATCTTCAGATCCGACCTCCAAACACACAGGTTTCGGAGTCCATACCACACAACCAACTAAAACCACACAATCTTTCCGACTCCCAAACAACCAATCAATATTCACGGCAGAACTAATGGGCATGGCCTCAACCCTCCATAGTCAAGAATCCAAAAACCACAATAAAATCCTAATACTTACCGACTCCCTAAGTGGACTGCAAGCTCTCCATAACAAAAATACCAAAAACCGACCTAAACTAATAACTCTAATACTTAAAAGCTCCAACGACCTAACTAAGGCAGGCAAACAAATAACCTTCTTGTGGATACCAGCCCACATAGGAATATACGGTAATGAAAACGCCGATAAGGCAGCTCAACTATCCCTCAAAATCCCAGAAATAAGCTTAAACTTACCCATCTCAAAATCAGAAATTAAAAGTGTAAATAAGCAAAAAATCACCAAAAAATAGCATAACCTATATCTAAACTCAAATAGCCAAATCAAAAAAGTACTCAGCAAACCACTAACCAAACCAAAAATTCACCATCCATCAAAAAAAATCGACAGAGTAATCACTAAACTCCAAACAGGACACACCAACCTAAATAACCACCTAAAAAATTTAAAAAAACATACTACAGGTAACTGCCCACACTGCAAACAACTAGAAACCCCAGAACACGCACTCATCTACTACACACACTACCTAAAACATCGAACCGCATTACAAACCACCCTCAATCTAAACAAGGCTCTCACTCTAGAAGCAATACTAAACCCACAAAATAAACTAGAAAACTTCAAGGCCTTAGGCGTATTCTTAATCAAAACGGAACTAATAAAACGCATCTAAAAACACTATAATCTACCAAATCAAAATTACATAAACACACAAACATCCACCATACCCAGCTCCCTTAGTTCTCCTCCCCAACCCCATCGGCATCTATTCCAAATCTCAAAATTCCCAAATTCTATATAAGCAACCCCTAAATCCCCCTCTTGGGATGCACACACCACTTTCGCCCCTTTCGGAAACACATTAAATGGCCTGGCCGGGCCCGTGTGCGAAATACGCATCAGTCGGAAAGCGCACGTTAAATCTCCAAAGTAAGTAAGTAAGTAAGACACCCGTGGGATAATATTGCGTTTGTGCCAATGGACTCTCCAAAAATTAAGCGCTCATTGCTATTATGGCTGTGTTGTTCTGCCTCAAATCTCCTGAAAAAGTAATTATTCATTGTCAATAAATGAGGACAACAATTGTGACATTTAAGAAAGTGGTAATCGAAATATTGCTTGAACGTTTCATTATGCGTATTATCTACAAAATTAGCACGTGACAGGTCCGTTGATGCTAGGAAATGACAATTCTGATCAGAACATGAGTTCCTGTGACGAGATTGTGAAAGGGCAATTATCACTTATAATTATTCCAGTTTGCTATTAATATAGCATATATATAGCATCACTTGCATTAAGAAACCCTTGGAATAATAGTGCGTTTGTGCAATTGGACTCTCAATTATCACTTCTAATTATTCCAGTTTGCCTCACCGCTTAACTCACGGAATCCTGAGACAGTATATAACGACTTCCTGCAATTAACAATGCTCCTGTTGGTCGCTAGTGTGATCACCATGGTGTGTCTCCCCCTGTCCGTTCTTGGCGCTTCCGATGATAGAGATGCTCTTATATACAAAGTGGAAATCTTCCTTCCCCCCAAAGAGGGAAGAGACGAGACTGCGGACATACAGCAGATTAAGGAGACGGTGAAACATCTAAATGACATTGATGTTCTCTTTTCATTTAAGGTCTGTACAATTGTGTTACTAACAAGACATGTACACATTCGTTAAAAATGCATAGCACATAGGCGATCACCAAGTTCTTATAATTATGTATCCCTTATATAACAATACATACCAAGGACAGCATATCTACATCTCTGTTAGGAGATCTGCAAACTGACACTCAAAATTAAGTGGTTTTGATAGGACGAATAATTATAGGGTTGTATAATTTGAATCGAAGAACCCTGTTAACAGATAGGTCCACGGCACTAATTATTAAATCATGAATATATAATTTACTGGATCATTCAGATGTGCATAGCCATACATATTGCATACACATATGTCTATATGAAATAATGAAATGTTACTTAAATAAAGTCGCACAAAACGGGAATTCCATGACATATGTTTGTAATTTCTGGATAAAAAAATAGGTCATTGAAAATACATACAATTGAACAATAGTAATATGTGCTGAAAATAAGTCGCATGTATTTCTTATTTTTTTGTTTGAGCAGGAACTCGGGAATCCAAGGATTATTCTTAGTAAGTCAACTTTCCAATGTTCTTTAGTTATCATTTTACATTTTAAACGGTTCGTATTTCATTCGGTATTCCTTATTCCTTGGGACATTTGCCACTGAACGTTACACCATTCAAGGTCTTAGTACAAGCCTAAAACAGTTGTATGATATACACCTGGAAGTCATTCAAAATTGAAGTCATCAGTGACGCAAAAACAATTTCTGAATCAATTCCCTATTTTGACTACGATGTGTTCCCCTTCTTTATACCTCTTCTGTGGTGGTTAGTATACTTGGAAATTTGGGTACGAATTATTAACAAATGACATATATTTAAGTTATTCAATATGTTTATATGTGCTTCTTTCAAAAAGGCTGAGGGATGCTACTGGTCATCCTCTCATGTTGGGACTCACAGAGACAATATCTTGATTTGTCCTTTTATTTGGCAAACTGCTGGAAATATGATTTCCATAAACTACATGTAGTTTACTTACATGTTATATGTATTCGGGTATTGACATGACCAATCATCCTGCATGTGACTGTAAATGCATTTGGACGTTCAGAGAAAGATATATTGTTTGCATGTAAGTGGAACATTTAATTCATCCATACATGACTTAATGCAAAGACATTCTTCTTCAAAATATATTTTTATTGCATACGTTTTAGTTCTTGACGTTGAGAAAGCATGCAGTTGGCCTCAACTGACAGGCTTTCTGTCAAGCCAGGGATTTGAGTTCAGCGTCACATCCCTCTACCACTGCAGTGACTTCGCCAAGGAGCTTGGTCTCAACCTGCCCAACGACATGTGGGTATCATCGTTCGGGAATGATGACCTTCTCATGGAAAAGCAGATATTTCCTGTGAAAGGTAAATACTACATTCCAGACGAAGCGCCAGAGGATTATCAAGCGTAATAGAGTATCACCTTGAGGTTATCCGCATGGTGTCAGTGTTGATGCAAATAGTGTAATCGGAGAATCAAGAATATATAACAACATGGTCTTGAGCAAATACACTCCGAATGTTGACAGATGTGAAGCAATCTATTGTTAATGTAAATAATCTCAAACGAAAGTCGGATACCAGTGGTCAATACGCATGGTACTAAAAGTAGAACAAATATGTCCCAACCTATTCTATGTATATCTAACAAAACATGAAACTTCATCCCTTCTAAAATGTGGTGACGCATCCATGAATGTTGGATGAAAGGGAAGCTGAATTTATAAATGAAATATCATTTCACGTGAAACAAAACTATTACATGATGGTGTAAAGAAATAAAATCAGCATTGGCCAAGTTTGGTTGTGGCTATTGTGTTTATAAGTTGAATGGATTGAATGAAAGTAAAAGAATATATAAACACATTTTTCTCACATGATAGATACTACGTAGGCATAAATATCCTAATCCTTCATTACTGCTGAAGTGCTGTTGTGTTCACCACACGGGGTGGTGGGGTAGTTTGGTGAATAAAGCGTTAGCTCGTCACGCCGAAGACCAGGGTTCGATTCCCCTCATGGATACAATGTGGGAAGCGCATTTTCCGGTGTCGGCCTTCGTGATATTGCTGGAATATATGCTTAAAGTGGCATAAAACCGTACTCACTCAAATATGAACTGTTCACCACACCTTGTTATTAAATCCATTCTGAGATTCTTACTACATCATAAGCGTGTGTTTATGAATCCCTATCAAATGGTGATAAGAAAACCAAGAAAACTTTCAATCAATAAACGAACGAACTATTTCTATAGTCTTTAACCTATAGTCTCATGAATTACCTCATCAACCACCATGTCCATTCCAGACTTGTCAACACTTGAGTACATAGAAAAGCTGAAGTGGACATTCGAGAAAGATTTAGCCATTATTAAAAACGGTCAGCCAGCGGAATGTTTCAAAACTCTCGCAGAGTTTCCGGTTGAGGTAATTATGATAATCTTCATTACAAATTTCTTTGTTTTAGTGTCTTACTTTCTCTCTATAGAACTTGTAGCCTTCAGAAATATGCAAATGTGACATATCAATAGATAATTAATGTTGACTCAGTTGTTAATCTGTTGTCTTAATTATTTATTTATTAGAATTACAACCACGAAAATGCATCTTCACTATCTCAGAACCCCAATACTTTAACAACTGTATTATCGTTTCATGTTATGGGATTTTAGTATATTTTAAAAAGATTATGTGACAGTGGCATGCATTATAGAACGTGATATGTTGTGTCACAGCAGGGCAAGGCAGATACATAGAACGTAATCGATAGAAATTTGACGAATCACTGTGACGTCATGCTTATTCTCGGTTGTCTCCACAACAATATATGTATTGATGTTTATCGCAGTAAACAAAATGTTCATTGTTTATTAGCAATGATCATATTTCAAATCATTTCAGCTGGTGTACTTCGGCCCAGCTAGTCAAAGTAAGATGGAAGCAGAAGAAGACCTATTGCATGGACCTAATACCTTTCACAATGAAGTCTCACGCATAGAAAAACTTGATGATTACACAGGAGTGTGCCAAGGAGACTAAACGGATGTGACAACTGTATAACTGAACAGATATTTAAACAATATTTAGAACACAGAAATCTTGATGAAGATGCGCAACAAACGCATTGTATTTTACTGACAAACATTCAAATAACAAATAGTTTGAGTTCGTTTCCGTGTGAGCTGGAGCACCTGGTGACGACACATAGTGTCATAGAGCTGTGTCACGTTGATAAGTATTGCACAGTTTGAAATTTCACATGAGGGATTACTTGAATGTATAACATTCGGTTGTAGGCCAATCACTACATGTACTATTGATGTCTTCTGACCACCACAAAATGCAGCGTCTGATTTTCTTAGTTGCAGCATTACTGCTTACATGTATATCACGGGGATCTGTTCCTTGCACCTTGCAAACCACTACAGGCAGCCAACCACAAGAATGACTTGACAGTGACGCAGCAGGTGGGGAAATCAGCAAGTGTCATTACCAGATAAGATCGACACGTTCGTATCCTATTCTATGTAACTGTCACATTACTGAGTGTGGCGTGAAACAACAAACATCTTGTCGCTGTATGACCGAGACATTTAATAATGTTGCATTCACTCACTGATAGTAAACCAATCGTTGACGAATTTTATTTTAGATAATATATCCCCGATCATTTGGCCATCACATGATTAGTGAGTTTGGTTTAACGCCATTTTTAACATTATTCCAGTCATATGTCAGCTGGATGTTGGATGGAATCCTGACGTGATGCAGGCTGTAGACGTTTAGACGCAAACGGATTGTGCTGAAAAACCTAGAAACATAATTGGGGCAAACCAAGTTTCGAATCACAGCATAGGAAATTGCGATCTGTAGACGACTCCCCCGTAACACACACACACCTCCCATCATATAATGATGACAAATAAATTGTCAATGTTGTAGAATAATAAGTTCATATTATTTGCCAAAACCGAATCCAAAGTTAAAATAATCAATCAATACTGAGGCCTTGAATGTTGTTACCTTGATCAAACAACTTATATTCTGTGGTAACTGTATGAGAGTCAGTAACTGACAATGATACATCCATGTTTCAAAATATCCTCAAAGATTATCTTGATGTGGTAGGATTTGTAACGATAACTGCAAGTAGTAAGTTTTGTGTCAGTAGTGATCATGATAACCATGTCTCAGAAACTGACAATGATGAAGCCATGTTTAACAAAATCATGAATGTTGACATTACCCTTGACTTATTTTCACTAGAATCTGGATCCTCATACTAAAGAAAGTGTATAAATATTGTCTAGTTTGATGAAAAAAGTATTTATTCCTTTTGTGTCAGGTGGTCAGATTTGGGAATGTGACTCTTTCTGTGTCGTCCTTCCTATACTTGCTCATTCTTTATTTCACTAGTTTACCTGGTCCTGACATGAATATCTACAGGCTGACATGGTGTAGTGGCAGTGAATAAGATATACTAAGATGACGACTCTATGTATGGCCCTGCATTATAGTTATCCATACATTGATGGAGACAGGTGGCAGGCAATACGTGGAAAACACACGGTAGAGGAATCATTGTGTAAATAAAAGGTCATATTGCGGAGGATATATATGTCATAAACACCATCTGTTACCAATTATTCTCATGTGGCACGCCAAACATTTCTGTTTTCACTGATCTGTTTCACATAACATAAATTCTCAAAAAAAGAGGAAACGGATACGTGGTACAGCTGCCTGTACCCTGAAGATGAAGCCATTATCATCCATCTTTATTTGTCACATTGCACACGATTCTGATGATAGTCACATTTGTTTATTTATTTCATTTTACACCAGTTTGATTATGGATATGTCTAGCTTTTATTACTTTTGCGTCTCTTGTACATTTTCCATTTCTATTAAATATATCCTTCCAGACCAAATTGTCTTTAAGTTGTCTTTGCAATTTAATTGTGTATATATATATATATATATATATATATATATATATATATATATGTATATATATATATATATATATATATGTGTGTGTGTGTGTGTGTGTCAGTCTACGCCAGTATTAACTACCTGTGACATATAACCACATTGTAAAGGGAGTCTGCCCCACCTACCAAGAATCATATGAAAGTTCCTTGTCCCCCTTCTTTTTCCATTTTCTTATAAAGCTCTTTAATAAATATGATAAACCTCTGTCAACTTAAGATGCAGCCCTGGCGGGTACCAACAGAACACTTAAAACAAGAAGATGAAAGTCCACATTTGGTTCCAACACGGGCTGTTTAATGAGAACACATTGAGACAATAATGTTTTAAAACTTGCCAGAAATCCCAGCCTTAGGTAATGAATGTTGGAAAAAACAATAAAGAGGCAATAAAATGTCCCCCTTTTCTTTCAACAATACTTCTAGACAACAACCTGTAAAGCGAACCTGTGATCTGCAGTGGGGTAATTTGCTCTGATGCCAGCATGAGCCACACTAATTATATTATTATTTTCACACCAAATTTGAAGCCTTTTATTCAAAATGGAAGTAAATATTTTGCAGAGAGTGTCAGTCAGTGATATGCCTCTATAATTGTTTGTATCGTTCTTACTGCCAGATTAAAATAAAGGGCATATGATATTTTTTTACCCCAGCTGTTTGGGAAGTGTCCACTGTTAAGAAAGTTATTGAACAATTGTAAGCAGCTTGATAATTATATGCTGGGCATTTTTGAATAAATCTGCAGCGAGTCCATCAGGTCCTTGAGTTTTATTGTTTGGTAAGTGTGTGATGCTGGAGCAGATTGACAAAGTGCGTTACCCACTGTTCATCTGGGATAGTGTCAGAAATTCCTTGTGAAGCTCTGTTTTCTTTAAGAATTTTCAAGATCACATTGGGATCATTTCTTGCATCTATTAGTTTGTCTTTCTGTTTGCCTAAATATATCTGTTTCTTTTGAATGAAGGATCTTCTGAAAAGTGATCTTAATTACATAAATATTGAAATATCTGTGTTATTCTATGTGTGAGTGCATTATAGTGACACATCTGTGTTATTGTCTCTGTGTTCATTATCCCACCAGGGTGGTTGAGTATTATTTCTCTGTTCAAAACACCACAGTATAATTTTCTTTGTGTTCTGCAGCTTGATGAAGCATTTGCTAAGAAGGCTATGGTTTCATCTATGTTGTTGTATATCATATTAACCAAAGTGGATTGTAAGTTACTGACGAAATTGCTAAAGTTAGTGATGAAGCAGTTATTCGAGTCTTTATTCCATGAAACCTTTTTCCATGCTTGTGTTTCTTGTTTGTATCTGTTCCTTACATTTGAAGTGCATGTGGGCAATTGGAATATGGGTATAGTATTGGACTTTGCTTTGCTATGTCAATGTCAAGTGAACAGTATAAAGAGAAATGACAGGACGTGTCTAATGTACCAACCCCACACTATGGTATGTGTGGACAAAGTGATGATGAGGCATCCATATCGTCTACAGAACTACCCCCATTGTGAGTGATACATGTATACATGTAAATTCACCTGCTGTGTCATTGAACATTCTGCTATTTAATGTAGGAATATGAAAGCAGTGATACAAGTCAACTAACTCAATGCCACAGTTATTGTACACTGAATTATCTTTAGAACAACTTGGCAAATCAAACTGATCACTTGGATAATCATCGGAGTCATTTATGAAGTCAGCTGGTTATGATTATCAGCTGGTATATAGTCTAGAAAGTCCTTGATTCTCGCATTTAGGTCACCACCTAAGATATGTTTAGTTTGGTGGTCAGATGTGATAGCAAACAAATACTGTTCAAATGTTGAAATACCGTCATAATCAATATCTTTATATATTGGAGAGATTTAAGGGAATATGTAAGGGAATATCAAGATAGACACGATCGAAAGATGTTTGCTCTCCTTTCCTTTGAACCACCAACATATTTTACAATACCTTCCGAATGGAAAGACGCTTATACCTGGACAAAAAGCTATCATTCATATTCGGATATATGGAGGCCTTAACGGCGATCCGGATGAAAAGGGAAACATTATGAAATGTTAGTGAATGGCGCCGCGATTCGCTTTGCAGAGTTGCGCCCCTTGGGCATGCCAGAAACCTATGATTGTGGGTTCGAATCCCGGTTCGCCACGATTATGTTTCTAGGTTTGTCAGTATTACACCCATGCTCAAGGGTTTCACCGAAGTGGTAAACGTCTGAGACCTGCATCACTTCGGGCTTTCCTCCCACATTAAGCAGACACGCTGCGTTATAACTTGAATACTGTTAAAAGCGGTGTTAAACCCAACTCACTCACTCATTCGTTGTGTTTCACATAGCCAAAGAGACAAATACATCGGGAGGTTGTCCAGAGAAAAATGTTTTTTACCAAATGATTTAAGAAATAAATAACCCTTAGCAAAACAAGTGAGTTTGGTTTTACGCCATTTTGAACAGTATTTCAATTATATCAGCTTGGCGTGGGAGGAAAGCCTGAAGTGATGCAGACATTGGGGCCCTGGCACTCCTAGGGGAGGCATCTCTACACAGCGAATGGCCAACGTAATAAATATCGAGTGAGACAGAGGTTTACTCGTTTGAAAAGTATTTTGTCTTAACACTACTTATCTGCTGGAAGGTCACCACGCTGTTATTTTACGTATGACGTTTGTGTAAGAAAGACACAGGATGCAACTCGAATAAATTGTTAAGGGAGAAACTTGAAGCAACACGATGTACTTGGGACGTGTTGGAAACAGTATTCCATTGTGACGTGTTTAATAGGGCAACGTGCTACTTCGTCTTCCAACCTTTTGGTGTGACGCAAGGACTATCTTCAAAGTGGAAAGAATGCCTAAAATGAACTTCATTGTATTTCAGGCCGCATATAACGGCATGTAAATTAGACCATGATTAATGTGATGAATAGAACATAACGGCACGTACATGTACATATATACATACATATAGGTTATAGGACTTATAGGTTTTCGTTATAATTGAACAGAAAAAAATAAGCTTACTAAAGACGCTGGCTTTTCTGCTGTTGAACAGATTACAAAGTTTGTGTTTTTTAATGTAAGACAGACAAGATAATATTCATTCTCTATTTTATCGAGGTAACATTGATTGTTTTTCCTTTCTATGGGTTGGGGACAGTTCCATCGTCCAACCCCCCAAAAAGGGGCGATGATTTAACGTTCTAAAAAGTAATAAATTTATCCATCTATTTCTAGGTAAAAGTTTCAGTTTCAACTCCGTTTCAAATTCCTTCCACTTTGTACCCTTTGAAGATGCATAAATGTCAGACATCCCTGACTGAAAAATATGATCATCTCTTCTTTTACTTTACTATATATTTTACCAAATATACAAACAAAACTCATCCAGCAAACAACAATTGTAGCCATGGAACTAAACATAGACTCTACACATGATATATCTATTAATGTTATGTATATTTACATGATCGTGGTATAATAGTGTGAACATAATACAAGAAAGTTTCAACGTGTGGAAACCAAATATTATAGGTAGGGTGAGATCATAAACCTTTATACTTTAATACTTATACTTTAGTAAATACTTTATTACCACGCTGGTCCACGCATCGCACACAACGATGGTGCATGTACCCGTCCGTTTTTTGTCTTGCTAGATTTAAAAGGTACCATGGCTTTGTAAAGATATATTTCGTGGCGGTTGGCTCTGTATATGGCTTTTGAATTAATTTTCTCTTAATGTTTACATTCCATAAGTATATACGGTTTCGTATGCTTGTTGTTTAACGCCGCACTCAGCAATATTCCAGCTATATGAGGGCGGTCTGTATATAATCGAGTGCGTAAAGCGCATGTTAAATATTCAACTTAGTTGGTCAGGTAATTTGTTTGGGATTGCTTCTAAAGTCTGTTTGGAAGATCAGTATTTTCGTGAAACTTAGCAGTTGCTGAGAAGATGACTGTTGTGTTTGAAGGTTGTAGTACTAATGTGATGTTGTTTATGCAGTGTTGTATATAAATTAGATTTGCCACTATTGATTCTATTTATTATCTTATCTGAAAAGACCGAATTTGTAAAATGTGGCATTTTGTGATTGGCTTAGTGAAAAGGGACTTTATCCATATGGATTTACAATTTTGATTTAGAATTTGGAAATTTTGAGTTTTAATATATTTCATTTGGTTTCATTTTTACTAGTAGTGAAGTTTATGGAAGGGGTGGGTGTATGGTTGCTGTTTTGGCTGCCAGATCCGCGAGGGTTTGACCCATGCTACTGAAACAAACCCTATATACCCAGGTAAAATAGTTGAACCATTAGATTAAAACTGGAGTACAGACTGGAGAACAGACCTGACTCTAGCAAAATAAAATAAAACATTAACAATTAATTCAATTTTAGTCATAACATTTCACAATTACATTCGTGCTAAAACTCCAGCTTGGCAAGTAGTATGCATACCATGGTCTCTGTTGTAATCCTATGTACTCCAGTTAGGACTGGTCCATTCCCAAGTAGGTGTTGTCTTAATCAATCCCCTCCTGGCCTCCTCCCAGGCTGTGTAACAACTGGGAATATAGAGGTGTGTAACAAATGGGACGTGCAACTAATAGGAGAGAACCAACCCACAGGCAAATTGTTGAGTACAATGGGGTTTTTTAAAAATCTATTTCAATTTGTTTCCACCGTTGTCTCTTATGTTTATGTTGCTTAATCTTATTGCTCATGTCAGTGTTCCCAAATCTACAATGGTTCAAGAGAAGCAATGGAATACTTCTGGAATACTATGGTTTGCATACACTGTTGAAACATCGTGATATCAAGTGACAAGTGTAGGAAATAAGGCGAATGAGAGGATTATTGCTTGCAATAGGCTTTTTGTTAATTTGACATTCAGTTATTGCCGAGTGTGGTGGTTG